TGTGGCTATGGGTGGTGGTTGTGGATGGTATGTTGTTGGGTGTTGGTAGAGGTGATAATAATTGTTGCTAGTGGTGGTGGTAGTAGTGTTGGTGGTTGTCGGTGGTCATGTGGGTAGTGGTGATAATTGTTGTTATTAATGACATGACTCAAACATCAAACACTCTAGAGATCAAACATCACCACTTTACCACTTCACCAGGTCACCACTTCACCACATCCTCAATGACGTTTTTAACATGGTCACTTAAGCTCTCTCTCATCACACACCACTTACAAATACACTTATCACTTGTCACACCCTTCATAACGCAGATTATTTACGCATTACGCATATTATTAAGGTATATTAAGTCTATTATTCACTCCTATTACGTAAACATATTAACTTGATCTTGTTACACCTGTGAGTCACCAGTAATCAATACAGGTGAATCACAGGTTAAGTTACACACCTCTTAATCTTACCTGTCGTGTGTGTGTGTGTGTGTGCTTAAGAATGACCATCTGAAGTACAAATCACTGTCATAAACGAAGAGGAATTAGTGAAGACATGATTGGATGTGTAGTAAGAGACGTGTAGATGGTTGTAGAAGAAATTATAATCTTTTTCTTCTGTTTTTTTTTTCTTTTCCTGGTTGGTGGAGCTTTTGTGTTGGCGCGTGAAGCCATCCATCTTATGTGAGTTGAATTATTGGTGAGGTTGTTCTTTTTCGTGTCTTCATTCCTCTCGTGAGATGATGATTGGAAGAGAGAGAGAGAGGGGGGATAAAGAGAGAGAGAGGTGGGATAAAGAGAGAGAGGGGGATAAAGAGAGAGAGGGAGAGAGAAAGGGGAGGTATATCACACTCTCTCTTTTACGTCTGGTGGTGTTCTGATCTCTGGCAAGGTAACATACAAGGAGAGGGAGGAGGAGGAGGAAGATGTGGTTGGAAAGAGGGGGGGGAGACAAGGGTGTGTGTGGGGGGGGACGAGGAGGGGTGTTGTGTGGGGAGGAGGGGTGGTATTGGAGGAAAAGTGCACTGAGGCGTTGTACAGAGAGATATACCCCCCCTCTCACAGGAAAGCGAGACATCACAATGGTTACACAAGAATGCCAGGAGACACACAGGTAGGCCACGCGAGGTCACAGGCCCAGGTGTGTGGTGTAGTACCCGACTGCAAGTATAACCACGTTTTAAAGTGAACACAACCACGCGAAGGTCTGTTTTACCAAGCTCCTGTAAAGTGACCGTCCCAGAAACTACACTCTGGGAAATAAGGTCTGAGGTACAGGTGTGTGTGTGTGTGTGTGTGTGTGTGGGTGTGTGTGTGTGTGTGTGTGGGTGTGTGTGTGTGTGTGTGTGTGTGTGTGTGTGTGTGTGTGTGTGTGTGTGTGGGTGTGTGTGTGTGTGTGTGGGTGTGTGTGTGTGTGTGTGTGTGTGTGTGTTTGGGTGTGGGTGTGTGTGTGTGTGTGTGGGTGTGTGTGTGTGGGTGTGGGTGTGTGTGTGTGTGTGTGTGTGTGTGTGTGTGTGTGTGGGTGTGTGTGTGTGTGTGTGTGTGTGTGTGTGGGTGTGTGGGTGGGTGTGGTGTGTGTGTGGGTGGTGTGTGTGTGGGTGTGTGTGTGTGTGGGTGTGTGTGTGTGTGTGTGTTGTTGACTCTGAAGGTAAACAAGTAATATAACTAAATACAACAGGTTAAGTGAGATTGATTGTTTATTTAGGTTGATTTGTTGTTTAAGTTAAGGGTCTGTCAGCTGCGTGTGTTGTTCCTACTATCGAGGTTAATAGGTTGTTGTTTTACCTGTGATTATACAGGTGTGTTGGGTCTGTTGTTGTGAATTATGGGAAGATTACCTGTAGGTCTCTCCCCTCCCCACCTCCCACCTGTACCTCTACAACGCTTCCACCGCGCCCTCACACCTCTCCCACGCCCCCTGCGCCTCTCCCACGCCCTCTACGCCTTTGTTTACATCACCAAGACACGCCCTGATGCAACACCCACTCAGTGAGGCGTACATGACTTTTGTATGTTCAGTCACGGGGGCGTACACACACACACACACACACACACACTGGGACCACTGTGCTTCCTCATCCTGATCAACGACGCTCTATCGGACACTCCTCACAGGTGGAAGTACGTGGATGACTGCACTGTGGGGGTTTCAGTGGACAACACCGCACCAGACTACTCATCGCTACAAGGCACCCTGGACAGGCTACAGGTATGGACTACGGAGAACAAGGTCACCATCAACCATCAACCACACCAAAACCGTAGTCATGCACATCAATACCGCCACCACTCCAGTGCAAGCCCCAGCAGTCACAGTGGGTGCCCATCCTCTCCAGCTGGTGCAGTCTGCCAAACTCCTGGGTGTAACTATAGACAACAAACTGGACTGGAAGGCCCATGTAAATAACACAGTCAAGGCAGCCTCGTACCGTCTCTACATGCTGCGACGACTTAGGTCACTTGGGACACCCACGCCAGAGCTGAGGACCATCTACAACGCCTTTATTCTCCCCAAACTAACGTATGCGTCACCAGCCTGGTCGTCTTCTCTCAACTCCACCCAACAACTTCAGCTAGAGAAGGTACAGAAAAGGGCCTGCAGAATCATGCTCAGCGCAGAATGCTCTGGCTACACCAACGCTCTCTCCACCCTGGAAATGAAATCCCTCAGTGACCTCCACCACCAAGCACTGGAAAGGTTTGGCAGTGAACTACTGCACCACCCTCGTCATTGCCACCTCCTGCAGCCCCCCACCCAACTCACGCAGTCCGCCACTACAACAAAATTCAGCCCATAAGAGCCCGCACCAATAGATATAAGAACAGCACCATCCCATCTATTGTTAAAATAATAAACAACTCCTGATTTATGTACTGTACAGCCCTGTAAATGTATTCAACACATATTATATCATTATGTCTAAATCTCATGCAAGTCTGTATATTTTCAGCCACCGGCTGCAACTCTATTAATAAACCGTTATTATTATTATTATTATTATTATACATACATACATACATACATACATACATACATACATACATACATACATACATACATACATACATACATATATACATACATACATATATACAACATACAATAATACATACATACAACATACAATAATACATACATACAAACATACATACATCCTTGACCACCGGAGGGTCAAGACCTATCAAGCACTACTCCTGCTTGGCCAATGTCGGCCCATTCCTTCTCCCCGACCCATCCTCACTACCGGGATATCAACGTAATCAAAAGCGACAATTTCGTTTCGGAAAGAAGTGAATTCAGCACTAGACAGTACCAGTGAGAGCAGTGACCCACCAGTGAGATAAGCACCACTGGGAACCGACCACCATCTTCTGACCAGGCAGTGTTAATCAGTCCACCATGGGAACAATAGTGGGTTGGCTTTACACCTGACTACAAGATAATACAACACCACCCAGCAGAGAGTGAGGTACTGTGACACCACACCACACCACACGGTGTCTCCATGACCACGTGAGGTCCTTCATATCAACACCCGATGACGAGTTACTACACCACGTGAACACCACACCACCTAGTGTTTCAATGACCAGCCCAGGCCCGGGCCATCAACTGTAAACTATAATAATTTGTTTGTTCAATTCATGTTCTTTCTCCTTTTAGTAATGAAAGATTTTGTTAAACGACCCACCCACCCCATGTCTTTGTACAGTATGTAATAAGTCATTTTTATCCAATATATATTTTCAGCCTTCGGGCTGCTGAACTTTTCAATAAACTGTTAATTATGGTTATCAGCATATATATATAAATATATATATATATATATATATATATATATATATATATATATATATATATATATATATATATATATATATATATATATATATATATATATATATATATATAGATATATATATAGATATAGATATATATATATATATATATATATATATATATATATATATATATATATATATATATATATATATATATATATATATATTATTATTATTATTACAAACATACCCGTGTGACAGGATGGAGGTGTTTGCCATTCCCAGGTGTGGAGTAGATGATTGTGGGTGAGTGGACAGAGGTAACATCGTATACTACCACAGTGCCATCGTTCCACCCGGCACTCACCATGTTCCCGTACTACCACAACCACCACAGAGAAACAGAGAATGCCTCAGTAAGACGTCAAACAAACAAACAAAATATAATAATAAATAAATATATGTAATATTCAGAAATTTCAGTGTAATTTCAAACGCCGCGCCATTGGCGATGCTGAGCTCAAGGTCGTCTGAGGGAAGACCGCTCTCCCGCTACGAGCGAGAGTTTGTGGAACTAGGCCTAAACGATATTAAATGTAATTTACCGAGTTAATAGGGACGCGAATCATGAAATTAAATATCAGTTATTAAATTGGAAATAATTATAGATCGTTTCCCAGTCTGAAAATGTTATGTATGTCCTAATTAAGCTGTTAATCGTCTGGTAAATAAGTCACTCCTGGAAAGCGTGAACCAGTGAGCAAGAGTGGCTGGGGAGTTGTGAGAGAGGTCAAGGACCACCTCTGTGCTGTACCCAGGAGAGACGAATCGCATGACCAGGTTCCTTCGTTTATTTAGCATCAGTATTAACAAGTAAGTTTTATTCAATCTCAGACAAAGCTAGACGGGCGTTAGGAACAAACGGTGATGTGAGACAATAGCTAACAGCCCGGGTTTTTCAGGGTACTGTAGACCCCACACGGTATGATAACGTCCACTGGCGGTATGAGACACGAGTGGTGAAGCGAGCTGTATGACCGTCCACTGACCAGGGTTTGAGCCACCTGTTGAATATGGTGAGAGTTGGAGTGAACCCAGCTGTCTAGGTGCCCAACTAACGATGTGACGATCGTTTGGGGTCATCAGCTCTCCTCTACCTCGGCTCACAATACCACATATCTTCAAACAGCTTAGTGAAAACCTTTTACTATCGGGAAGCTAAAGCTTCTCTCAACTGTACAAGGTCTGAGTGGCTCACTCCCTTCCGTTTCATGGATGTACTGGGGGTAAAGTGAAGCCAGCTGAGTGACACAGGGTCACACACTGGGACCAAGAATCCAGTGGAACTTAGAGGTACATTTCCAAGGTTGAGAAAGGCTGGTTTGGGCCTTAAACTATGGGTGCCTGTTGGTTGTGCCTTAAAAAGCTACGGAGTGCAGGTGGAATCTATGTGTTAGGTTAGGAAGCATGGTTCACGGATATTGGTGGACTCAGTAACTTCTTAATATTAGTGATAATATTTTTGTGTGTAGTTAATACTATTTTTTCAGTTACTGATGTTGTCTTGCTGTGTGTAGTTAATATTTCTTAAATAATTTTGAGAGTATTGTTTTTTAATGTCTGTGTCATTAATTGAAGCCAGAGAATGAGGGAACTGTTTTTCAGATGAGTTTTCTCCCTTGTGTTGCAAATGATACTGTGATTTAGTTCCTTTAATGCATTTAATATTTCTTTATAATTTCAATCTCAAGTATAACCTTTGTTCCCTAGAGTAGTGTTTAAGTTAGGTTAGGAAGTGTGCATCTGTTGGGGTAATATAATTTTGTTGAGTGCCCTGAAGGCCTATTCAGGGTGGAGTTAATAAGTTCTTATTTTTTTATACCATTTTCTCAGTGCTTGATATAATTTTGTTGAAAGCCCTTAAGACCTGTTCCATGTGTGTAAGCAACACTTCTTAATACTGTGAATTTATTGTTGTCTAATGAGACATTGTCTTGAGTTTCTAATAATTTCAATATCTTGTATAACTTTTATTCCCCAAAGTAGTGTTTTAAGTTCAGGTTAAGAGGTGCGCATATGTTGGTGTACCATTATTTGATTATGTCTGCAGTGTTGGAGGGAATATAAGTGTCTAAATTTTACAGTGTGTCTAATTCATCCCAGTCACAGACGCTATCCTTCCACGGGTCACGGAGAATTCATTTTGTTAGTAAATTTAAGTGTTCTTGTGCTGGTTCGGGATTTCTCTCCAAGGGGCGCTTCCAATGCAATTACCATCTAATAATATTTAATAAACTCCAAGTTAAGTGAGATTTAAAGGTCCAGTAATTCCGACCGATTACATATATATCAAATAAAAAAATAAATGTAAATAAAACTCATTCACATTTGCACCTGTGATTTAAGTACAAGTGGTGTACCTTGGGGTGTAGGTGTACTGTACCTTGGGGTGGAGGTGTACTGTACCTTGGGGTGTAGGTGTACTGTACCTTGGGGTGTAGGTGTACTGTACCTTGGGGTGGAGGTGTACTGTACCTTGGGGTGTAGGTGTACTGTACCTTGGGGTGTAGGTGTACTGTACCTTGGGGTGTAGGTGTACTGTGCCTTGGGTGTGGGTGTACTGTACGTTGGGGTGTGGGTGTGCTGTACCTTGGGGTGTGGGTGTGCTGTACCTTGGGGTGTGGGTGTGCTGTGCAACTTAGGTGTGGGTGTGCTGTGCCTTGGGGTGTGGGGTGTACTGTGCCTTGGGGTGTGGGTGTGCTGTGCCTTGGGGGTGTGGGTGTATGCTGTGCCTTGGGGTGTGGGTGTGCTGTGCCTTGGGGGTGTGGGTGTGTACCGTGGGGTGGAGATTATGCTGTACCTTGGGGTGTGGAAGTGTACTGTACCTGTGGGGTGTGGGTGTGCTATACCGTGAGAATTGTAGAGTGTACTAACCTTGGGGTGTAGGTGTCCACTGTACCTTGAGGTGTAGGTGTGCTAGCATACCTTGGGGTGTAGGTGTATGCCTTGGGGTGTGGGTGTGCTATGCCTTGGGGTGTGGGTGCTGTACCGTGGGTGTGGGGTGTATGCACAGCATGCCTTGGGGTGTGGGTGTGCTGTGCAGCAGGGGTGTGGTGTGCTGTACCATTAGGTGTGGGGTGTACTGTACCTTAAATTGTCGTGTACTGTACCTTGGGGTGTAGGTGTGCCTTTGCAACCAGGGTGGAGTGTACTGTGCCAGGGTGTAGGTGTGCACTGTGCCTTGGGGTGTGGGTGTGCTGTACCTTGGGGTGTGGGTGTGCTGTGCCTTGGGGTGTGGGTGTGCTGTGCAGCAGGGTGTAGGTGTACTGTGTATGCCTTGGGGTGTAGGTGTATGCTACTGTGCCAGGGTGTGGGGTGTGTACTGTTACCTTGAGGTGTGGGTGTGCTGTACCCTTGGGAATTGTGGGTGTGCTTTCATGCCTTGGGGTGTGGGTGTACTGTGCCGTGGGGTGTGGGGTGTGTACTGTACCTTGGGGTGTGGGTGTGCTGTGCAGCAGGGTGTGGGGTGTACTGTACCTTGAGATTATTAGGTGTACTTTCATGTGCCATTAAGGGGTGTAGGTGTGCTGTACCTTGGGGTGTAGGTGTACTGTACCTTGGGGTGTGGGTGTACTGTGCCTTGGGGGTGGAGGTGTACTGTGCTGTGGGGTGTGGGTGTACTGTACCGTGGGAATTATGGTGTGTCACTGTACCGTGGGGTGTAGGTGTACTGTGCAGCAGGGGTGTGGGTGTACTGTGCCTTGCTGGGGTGGAGTGTACTGTGTGGGGGTGTGGTGTGCTGTGCCTTGGGTGTGGGTGTACTGTGTACCGTGAAGTTGTGGTGTGCTGCTATTACTCACAAATGGGGTGTGGGTGTACTGTGCAGCAGGGGTGGAGGTGTACTGTACCTTGGGGTGTAGGTGTACACACCTTGTGGGGATTATGGAAGTGTACTGTACCGTGGGGTGTGGAGTGTGTGCTTGTACCGTGGTGCTTGGGTGTGCACTGTACACCTTAGGGTGTGGGGTGTGCCTTGGTGCCAGGTGTACTGTACCTTGGGGTGTAGGTGTGCATGCCTTGGGGTGTGGGTGTACTGTACCTTGAGGGTGTGGGTGTGCACAGCACCGTGGGGTGTGGAGTTAGCCACTGTGCCTTGGGGTGGCAGTGTGCTGTACCTTGGTGTGGGTGTGCTGTGCCTTGGGGTGTGGGTGTGCTGTACCGTGGGGTGTGGGTGTGCTGTACCTTGGGGTGTGGGTGTGCTGTACCTTGGGGTGTGGGTGTGCTGTGCAGCAGGGGTGTGGGTGTGCTGTACCTTGGGGTGTGGGTGTGCTGTGCTGTGGGGTGTGGGTGTGTGCCTGTGCCGTGGGGTGTGGGTGTGCTGTACCTTGGGGTGTGGGTGTGCTATTACCTTGGGAATTGTGGAGTGTAATGTACCGTGAGATTCATGGGTGCTGTACCTTGGGGTACAGAGTGTACAGCATACCTTGGGGTGGCAGGTGTACTGTACCTTGGGGGTGTGGAGTGTGCTATGCCGTGGGGTGGGTGTGCTGCTGCCTTGGGGTGTGGTGTGCTGTGCAACCAGAATTCAACCCGGTGTGCTGTGCAGCAGGGGTGTGGGTGTGCTGTGCAGGGGGTGTGGGTGTGCTGTGCAGCAGGGGTGTGGGTGTGCTGTGCAGCCAGGGGTGTGGGTGTGCTGTGTGCAGCAGGGGTGTGGGTGTGCTGTGCCGTGGGGTGTGGAGGGTGTGCTGTGCAGCAGGGGTGTGGGTGTGCTGTGCAGCCAGGAATTATAGGTGTACTGTACCTTAGGGTGTAAAGGTGTATGCTATGCAATGGGGTATGGGTGTACTATACCGTGGGGTGTAGGTGTACTGTACCTTGGGGTGTGGGTGTACTGTACCCCTTGGGGTGTGAGTGTACTGTGCCTTGGGGTGTGGGAGTACTGTATCTTGGGGTGTGGAGTGTACTGTGCCTTGGGATGTGGGTGTACTGTGCAGGGTGAAGGTGTACTGTGCATGGGGTGTGGGGTACTGTGCAGCCAGGGGTGAAGGTGTGCTGTGCCTCCCAGGGGTGTGGGTGTACTGTGCCTTCCCAGGGTGTGGAGTGTGCTGTGCAGCGGGGGCCCATGGGTGTGCTGTGCCTTGGGGCATGGTGTGCTGTGCCTTGGGGTGTGGGTGGACGCTGTGCCTTGGGCGTGGATTGTGCTGTACCTTGGTGTGAGTGTACTGTACCTTGGGGGTGTAGATGTACTGTACCTTGGGTGTGTGGAGTATGCTGTACAGCAGGGGTGTAGATGTGCACATGCCTTGGGGTGTGGGTGTGCTGTACCTTGGGGTGTGGGTGTGCTGTGCCTTCCAGGTGGATGTGCTGTACCTTGGGGTGTGGAGATTGTACTGTGTGCAGCAGGGGTGTGGGTGTGCTGTACCTTGGGGTGTGGGTGTGCTGTGCCAGTGGAGATTGGAGGTGTGCTGTGCATGGGGATTGTGGGTGTGCTGTACCGTGGGGTGTGGGTGTGCTATGCCGTGGGGTGTGTAGGTGTGCAACACCTTGGGGTGTGGGTGTGCTGTACCTTAGGGTGTGGAGTGTACTGTGCAAGTTGGGGTGTAGGTGTACTGTACCTTGGGGTGTAGGTGTACTGTACGTTGGGGTGTAGATGTACTGTACCTTGGGGTGTAGGTGTACTGTACCTTGGGGTGTAGGTGTACACAGGTAACACCAGAGTGGGCGTGGAATATCCTCTCAGGTGTAGTCGGGTTCTTTAGCGTGTAGAGGCAGAGCATCCCAGCCCCTTCACCCACACCAGCCTCTCCTGCCAGACACAGCGTCATACATATGGTACGTATACAGGACATAAAGTATGCATAATATCAATCATGTTACATATACTGGACATAACGTATACATAATATCAACCATGGTACATATACAGGACATAAAGTATACATAATATCAACCATGGTACATACTGTATACTGGACATAAAGTATACATAATATCAACCATGGTACATATACTGGACATAAAGTATACATAATATCAACCATGGTACATATACTGGACATAAAGTATACATAATATCAACCATGTTACATATACTGGACATAAAGTATACATAATATCAATCATGTTATATATATATCAACCATGTTACATATACTGGACATAAAGTATACATAATATCAATCATGTTATATATACTGGACATAAAGTATACATAATATGAACCATGTTACATACACAGGACATTAACATATAACACCTGTATACAGTTTTCTCAACTTGTGGCTTCTTCAACCTGAGGCTGTGACCTTGACTTACTCTCTATTAAATTCTTCACCTTATGATGTTAACATTAATTTATTTATTGTATAAAAGGATACACATGCGGTATACAGTGCTCTATCGGCCCTGACACTGACCATTGGTGTAGGCGGCGGCGAACAGGTCACGGTAGACGGGGCTCCAGCAGATATCGGAGACCACAAAGGGACGGCTAGTGTCCGAAGCGAACTTCCAGAGCGGCAAAAGCGATCCGTGTAGAGGGTGGTAGTCATCGCCCCCGTCCTCCCAGTACATAAAGTCTGCAACATACTGTAAATATTGATTTTGGGGGTTTTATTTTTGCACATTATGAATGTCATAAAAGAAAGTGAATTAATAATTATCAGAAGAGATATTTACCCTTTATATTGGAATAATGAAACGTAGTTATTGTAATAATAGAATACTGCAGGTCTTTATTAGGTAATATATCCTATTTACTTGTATAACACAACACTCATCATGACCAGCATCTCCCTACTGGCCACACGGGCTAACAGCAAAACCCACTAGCTATATAGGGCTATTACATCAACTTGTTCAGTGAAGCACCAAACACTTTCCATAAAGAGTGACGCACTTAAACTATTTTAGACAAGTTATGTGCTGAAAAAAATTCTCCCCAACGTCGAGAAAAGCATACTGTACTCCTCAAATTAAAAATACTGTGTGAAAATCGATATTCCCACAAGCAAATTGTGGTTTTCTCAAAGTAAGGAAGAACTTTTACTCAATACAGTATCAGTCGAAAATAGTTGCTCTAGGTGCATCGCTTTTGTTAAGTATTATACCCTGGACAATGTCGTCGTATATATTCTGGTTGATCATCCTCTCTAAGATGACGGCAGCCTGGCGGAGTCCTGGCAGGTTGAGGGATACCTTGCTCGGCGCCTCTGTTGGCTCGGGTGCCAGTAAGGTTGTAGTCGCCAGGTTGAAGCACTGTAACAGTTAACTTGGGGCTCAGTCAACATAACAAGAGAACAGTGACACACGTCACACGTCATACTGTTTGTCTACTCACAGAAACAACTGAAGAGTTTAATAAGTTCTACATAAACTAACACAGAAGTCTAATGAAACTCTTATTCGTGTCATTATATATTTTGTACTTTGGTCTCAGTCATTAACTCCAA